CATATCGTTTAAGGATTTTGCTAGTGCGAAGTTTATATAAGGTGTGTGCTATAAGGAATATACAAAACATTTTATTGTAGACCAAAATACAGAAAACGAGTAGAGTTCAGAGTTAAGTTCAATCTAAAGAATAATGTACAACAAGCGGTCTTATCACTCTGAAAGTAATCTCTTCCAGACAACAACCTTTGCGTAGACGGGGGTGTACAAAAATATTAAAATACATATAAATATATAAAGTCCAAGTGACATATAATATTTATTTTATAGTTATTAAGTTATTTATTAACTTTCCGATTTTACAAATGTCTTCCGAAAATTCAAAATAGGCAAAATGACAACAGGAAGCACTATCATAGTAATATACTACCATTGTAAGCATTTATTTATTTATACTTCCGTGCAGAAAAGTAATACATATGATAGACTTAATGCCATTACTATTCTCTCCCAGTCTACCATTAGGCTAAACACAGACATATATATATATATATATATATATATATATATATATATATATATATATACTATCTATGTCAGAAAAGAAAACGAAATATGTATATATGAAAATATAATGACGTTCCTGAGTTCAGAGATGGCCGTGAGGGCTAAAGGTTAAGATAACTAACCAGTACCATGTAAAGGAGTGAGCAACTTAAAATTACCTGAAGAACGGAGAGAACAATTATGAGAATCTCGCAGGTATTAAAATTTATATTTCAGATATTTGTTTAGCATTGAGAAAATGGTGCAGAGTATTCTAACATATCGGCGCTAACGGATTGGCAGCCAATTTGGCGGAGTACGAAAATAGGATACATGATCGTATTTACGACGACCATAAACGTATCTGGTGCAGTTAAGCAGACGATCCAGTGTATTAAGACGATTCATTCACCATTCGGAGATATATTTCAAGTCAAGATAAGATTGATTAAAAATGGAAAGTAGAAGAGAAGATCTAACACCGCCTTGGGGGACGCCAGTAGACACATCAAAACAGTCTGATAGTTTATGTCCTGTACGTAATGCCTGCTTGCGCCCACGAAGATATGGCGAGAACCAATTCTGAACTGTAGACGATATATATTCAAATGAGAAAAGAGAATTAACAAGACATCATGAACGACAGAATTAAATGTGTGACAAAAAGCCTATTAAGATGGGAACGGTTAGTTTGGATTTTTCCATCCCCTCATGGATATCTTTCGTCACTCTAAGAAGAGCATTAGTTGTAGAATGACCAGGGTGGAAACCCGTCTGATAAGAGAAAATAATATTATTTGAAAAAATAAAAGAAGAAATTTGATTATGAGCGACAGATTCCAAAACCTTCGAAATAAAGGGCAGGATAGAAATTGATCCGATTTTATATAGCCCTGCAGTCGATGGATTTAGGAAAGGAAATTATAAAGGCTTTACACCAGAGGGTTGGGAAAGCATCATTTGTCAGAGAAAAGTTAATGATATGAAATATAAAATATCACGGATAGAATAATCTTCAACACGTGCAAAACCATTATACTACTTACATCATCACAAGCAATGTCTTTTGATCAAATAAAAGAAAGTTCTTTGCGTACCTCGACTTCGTATACAGAAGACAAAGCGAAAGTTTCATGAAAATAACCTCCTTACTTGACAGATATAAATAAGATAGCATTAGCTCTAAAATTATCAGAAATTGTTTGAGAAGACAGAAAATGAGGATAAAAATCGTCAGGAGGATGCTATTGTAGTCAAATTTCGATTTTCCATATCCAATTACTTGTTCGTGGATATATCAGCTTTTAGCAGCTGATTTCTCTCAGCTTACCACTTTATATCAGTGCGATTTCTCTTAAAATCACGAAACGATCGATCATGTTTTGTTATAGGCATTCTTACCTCAAACGAGATCCATGGAACAGGAGAACGCTTATGTCGAACTAATAATAATAATAATAGCCTGGATAGACAACAGAAAGCCTTTCGACTCGGTGCCCCATACATGGCTAAAGAGAACCCTCGAGCTGTACAAAATTGACTGTATAGTTAGAGACTTCCTCGAGCAGTGTATGGGGCAGTGGAGTACGATCCTTTGTTATCTGGGCGAGCAGATGATGGCTGCGGAGAACCACATAAGGATAAGAAGGGGTATCTTCCAGAGCGATTGTCTGAGTCCAATCTGGTTCTGCCTCTCTCTGAACCCTCTCAGTACCTTACTGGAAGGCTTCGGGAGAGGATTTCAGCTTCGGAAGGGAGGGACAAAAGTGAACCACCTTTTCTATATGGATGATCTCAAGTTGTTCGACTCCAATCGCTCCCATTTTATGGAATTGCTAAACATCACTTGTTAATTTAGCAATTCTATTGGAATGGAGCTGGGGACGGATAAGTGTGCGGTCCTCCCTGTTGAAAGGGGAAGGGTTGCTAACTCTGAGGGCATAGACTTATCTATGCTTGTCAACTTAAGGATCCATTCCGAGGCTGAAACATACCGATACCTGGGTATGTCACAGAACATCGGTATCGATGAAGCTGGAATGAAACAGTCAGCTTGCAACGTGTTTTATGCACGCTTGACCAAAGTGCTTAACAGCCTTTTTTCCGGTATGAATGAGACACACGCATATAACGGTTGGGTCGTGCTCCTCGTGTATACCTTTGGCATACTCAGGTAGACTCAGACCAAACTTAACGCCCTGGATAGAAAAGTCCGCACTACCATGACGTCCCATAGGATGCATCATCAGCGATCGTCGGTAATGAGGCTGTACTTGCCGCGAAAGCATGGTGGACGTGGTTTTCTGAGCGCGCTCACACAGCCTCCGTCATTACTTCCTGGCGAGATCAGATGATCCATTCTATAATGATGTCATTTCTAGTGATAAAGGGCTTACCCCTCTATCCTTAGCCAACGAGCAATGGCAGGACCAAGCAGTGCTTAGCATTTCCGACCGGAAGACCGTATGGAAATAGAAGGAGCTCCACGGGAGGTACTGCAGGGTTCTACATGAGCCCTTCGTAGATACAGTCGCCTCCCTCAACTGGCTGCGTTTCGGTCACCTCTTCGGGGAAACCGAGGGTTTTGTCTGTGCAATACATGATCAGGTTATTAAGACCAACAACGGAGATACATCCTAAAGGATGGCACCATCGACATTTGTCGAGCTTGTCGCCATCCCGGTGAGGCACTTAGGCATGTCATCTTCGGTTGTTCGGCGCTTTCTAACTCTGAGTACTTGCACAGGCACAACCTAATCTTCTACAATTCTACACCAGCAGCTCGCTCTGAAATACGATCTCGTGGACCGGAAAGTGCCGTATTACAAGTACTTACCGGAAGCCGTGCTCGAAAATGACCGTGCCAGGCTCTACTGGGACCGGGCCATCATCAGAGACAGGACTATTCTTGCGAATAAGCCTGATATTGTGCTGATGGATCGGGCACAGTCAAGGATATTTTTGGTCGATATTACCATTCCGTATGACGAGAACCTCGTGAAAGCCGAAACAGATCAACAATCAAAATATCTGGACCTGGCTCACGAGGTAAACGACATGTGGGGTGGTCTGCCGACCGATATTATTCCTGTAGTCGTGTATGCAAGCAGGTTAATCCCAGCCAGCCTCTCGGGTTATCTGAGACGACTGGTACTCCGTGGCGGACCGCTCCGGGCTCAAATGCAGAAGGCGGTTCTCCTCGATACCGCCCGCATCGCCCGCCGGTTTCTTTTCCTTTCCCCCTAACCCTCGGCCGTTTGGTCTTCCCTGCCGAGGGCTTCCATCTGGTTGGGCTTTTATTTATTTATGTATAATTTATTTATTTATGTTAGTATATTAAATACATACTTATGTATATTTATTTTTTCCTTTATGTACTTATCCAGCCCAACCAGATGTGATTACTCTATCAATGACTCCTAACTTTGTAACTTTATTGTATTGTAATGTAACTTTATTGGTGGAAACGAATAAATACATTTATTCGTTTCCACCAATAAAGTTACAGTGAGCAGTATACACAGAAATAACCAAAATTACATAGTGTAGTAATGAATGGGCTCTAGCTCAGCATAAATGTTGCAGTTGCCTACAACGCTGTTATTCTGCCAGCGCCCAACAAATGAAGAGTACGAGCGCATCCCTGCCTGTATTACATTTAATCACAACTGTTCATATTAGAATACATCTCGTGGTTTCCCAAGTATTAGCGAGTATTAGCCAGTTCAAATTAGTAATTAAGAAATATTTTTAATTATCATAAATTTTTTCCATAAAATTTACATTTTTAATAATGATTGCAACAATACAACTAATAGTAACAACAAAGTATTAAATAATATTCATTTTACTGAGCCTTAACTGAATTTATTTGAGCTTATAAGTCTACACTACACATTTAGGAGTATTTTCATTATACAGTTCTAATACGTTGCTGTTAAAGATGTCGATTTCTTTTTCGTGAACTGTGGAAACAGTAAATTCAGATTACTATTACGCTTGAGCTTGTCTATAACTAGTCTAGCAAGACTTCGAATGGAGACAGACACTGATGAAGGTTTGTGAGATTTTAATGTATATGAGAGGAAAAGCAAATCATGTCGTGAAAATCCAGAAACAGGGAATTATCCATAATTGACAACACGCTCAACAGATTATATCATTATATGATAGCTAACGATGATGATGATATGTTTTATCATTTATATGATAGTTTTACGTTACGTATGGTAATGAATCGTTTCAAGAAATTGAGCTCGGGTTCTTCTTGACATTCAAGCGCCTATATTATTTAGACTTTTATCATTTCTTCTTTCTGTTGTATTGTTTCTAATATTTTTATAAATAATAAAATAATATGGTATGGGCAATAAATAAAATGGTATTTATTTATTGATAAGTGGTAATATAATTCCGTAGCGAAAATAAAATAAAAAAATTGAATTAAAAGCGTCTAGAAAGGCGTAGTCGAACGTTATTTAAACATTCATATAAAAAGTATATAGGCATAAGCAATGCGTACAACGGGGCGTCTGGATAAAGAAAAACTGAACCAGCCAGTGCATCGGCGATCAGTGAAAGCCGACCGAGTCAGACATGCAGACACCAAACATTCAAGAGTACGACTTGACAGCTATACTTCCACTGCACATGTTTGTACGATAGCACAGATATTGCCACTCTTTATATTGAGGCGTAAACGGTACTTTAGTTTCTATTACTACTGCTCAAATTTCAAAATCGTACGAACTTGTAATACCAGATAAAATAATTTGTGATTAATCTTTTTCGCTCAACAAGCGGACTGTGATAAGAAACGATAATTAAAAATTATCGTTCGGAAAATGATTGAGATATAATTTTCGATTACTTTCTGTGTACAACACGAATACACAAGTCGTTTTAATTTCTCTCACTCATATAAAATCCTATACCTGAATAATATATACTGAATATTAACTACATTTACCAAAATGTAAACGTTCGTTTGTTCGAAACCTTAAAAGTTTTCCAAAGCTTTTTGACTGATTGCATTAAAATATTGACAGAAATGTGCATTCGAATACGCGCGACTATTTTTATACTTTTTGAAAAATATTTTGAGCTACACTAACACGTGGCCGCTGTAGCCGGCTTATAATTAATGACATTAAAAAATTTATATTTTTAACGAATTATCCAGATATACGCACAAATCAGTTAGCGACTCCGACCGCAATATAAAATATGTAAGCAGGAACGAGCCCTCGTTATCAGGCGCGCAAGAGCCTAATCACTTTCATTGCAACCCTGCAAGGAGGTCGGCGCGGCTATCACAGCCAGTCGGGCTCGCGCAGTGGGTGCGCGCAGGCGTGCGCCGCTCCGCTCGCCAGCTGAAATCAGCTACCGTTACTTATCGCCATCCGCTAGCCACTCGCCACCGCCACGACCCGGCCGCAGCCGGGAATGGAGACCTGCTGCGCCATCACAGCTGCCGAGGACCTTGTGGGCGACCAGGTACGAATTGCACCCGGCAGTGCCAACGGCGACCTGGCGCTCCAATATCCTATTACACCAACATCATCGACGTCCAAGTGCTACGTGATCATCTGTGTTAAAATCAGCGTATAGAAAGTGGTCTTGTGTATCGAGTATTTTAAAATAGTTTGCCGTTAATTATTTAGGACACATTTAACGAAAATACCTTAATATTAGTATGGACCGTTCTATGTTACGTGTAAGGTTACGTGGTCTGTAGAAGAATTCCTTCAGTCATGAAAGTGCTTGTTTTCCGGTGACAACAATGACACTGATATACGGACGTGATTAAGAGGATATGATACCTAGAAGAGCGAAGTTTTTTAGAATTTCACTAATGTTTCTTTAAGAATTTTTATCCTGAAATGAGATAAACTGAAATTAATTTAAAATAACTTGATTATAAAAAAAATCAAATTTATTCTTATACTTCAAACCTAACCTGTTGAATGAAATAACAATAATTGAATTATTATAATAGAAGCCATTTTATATAATATACATAAAATAAATAAACGAAATGTATTTTTATAAAATAAAAGTATTTATTAATAAATAACCATATAACTTAATCAATGTTATTTTGACGTAATAAGAGTAAAATTAAGTCGTTTTAAAATTTCGTTTTAAAATACATTATATGGGATTTAATCTTCAAAAAAATAAAAAACTTTATACACTTTGCCTACTCGATAGTTAAATGTTAAATATATAATATTCTAATTTTAATAGCAACAGTTTTAATTTGCTTACTCTAAAGAAATCTAGCTCTCCTTATGCGTATCATCCATACCGATGCATAGAAAAGACATCAACGACTACTCTATCAGGTCACTGCCTCGCAATTATCTGTATTCATTTGGCTTAAACGTAGCACATAAAAAAATTGTACTATCGTATATTTATTAATGATTTTTTAATAGTTGGTATTTTATTTCTTTTTTCTGCGTTGTGGTAATTTTATCTCAAATGAAAAAGGATAAAATCAATTCACACAATCTATTCAATTTTGTAATTCTTTCACAGATGTAATGTTTTTTTATGATTCTTAACATCAATAAACAAGACTATTAGAAAAGTATATATTAATTTATTTCACAACATAGAAAAGAATTTTTATTAAAGCTTAAAATTTCTGTAGAGTTAAATTAAAAATAAAAAAGCAATTATTTTATTTTTAACCAAGTTTAAAGGGTGACATATGTTCTAAATGGTAAATTAAATAGTAAAGCGTCAGTGTACTTAGCTGGTCAAAAATTTAGCGGCTATCTCTTATATTAAGGCACGGTGGATAGGTTGAAAAAGTAATATTTCATGAGAAAAGTAAAATTAACAACAAATTAGGAAAAGTTACCATAAAAAAAATCTGAAATAGCAAATTAAAACATGTCAACGTAACAAACAGTGAAGGAACACCGCAGTTGTAGCTGAAAATTTTATATAATACTCTACTTTTACTTTAATATCCAGCCCAGGATGCTTTCATATTTTGTCTAAAAAAAATTAATAAAAATTCAAATCATTTTTTATGTTCCGATACGTTAGTTCATTTCATCTTTATTAACAGGTTCCGATGTAAAATTTATGACTTATAACCGTTCAATTAATACGGTTGAACGTGCGCAATTTTAATGACAAAAGTTATGGCCACGAAATAGACTCTTAAAATGTTTAGTACAAAATTGTGTCACATATTTGAACGAAACGTAGGTAGGATGATGTTCTTTATACAGTTTCATAATGAAAATTATTGTCGCATACATACGTTTTAGGTATGCTATGCGCACGCTTTTGATTTAATCCGCCCTTAATTATCATTCCTGTGATTGGCTTAACGATTGCTGGACTAGATGCTACTAACTTTAAACGCTTTTTCTCGATTTTTTTCAGTATTCGCGATCTTTCAAATTGGATAACAATTGGAGTAAAATTCGTTTTCAACACATAGATGCACACTATAAAAGAATAACTGACTTAGCGCAAAAGGTAGTTAAGCTAAAGTGGAAATGTACCTTAAAGTTGTACAAACTGATGACCAATATAAAATAAAGATTCACGATTAGCTCCTTAACACCGTCAAATGCTGAGTAGGGCGACAACCATTACGCAACAAAAAGGTTTAAACGGTGTATGTATGTGAATGTGTGGATATCTATGTGGAAAGTCTATATACAACACTGGACTTGTAGAGTAAAATAATATGTGATCGTTTTTCCATAAAGATTCGGCACCTCTTTTCCTGGCAATTAGTCGACCTTTTCAATATTATTGAAGTAAAATAAATTAATTTATACCGCATTTAAATGACAACGAGTTCCTTTACGATTATTAATAAATATATTTAAAAGTTTGCTAGTAGTTTGCAAGAATCGAAGACATCTCATCTAATTAACGTCATTAGAGTTGAAAAATAGCGGCAGAAACCTTTTGTTAATACTGTATCTTAAATCGATGTTACTATTGATATTGCTTTCCAAGTTCTGCGATAGAACTAGTAAAAATATATGACTATTTTCATGGAAATCTGCTAGTCAAACAGCATAATCAGAAGTTTTCGTGGCCAGTGACGCCATTATAGGTCAACAACAAATCTAATATCCGACATTTCTAAAATATAAATAATGAAAGTACAGTTAACAAACAGGTAGAGTTAGATGATCATTTGTTGTAAAGTACACTATTCGGACGTCTTCGATGATTCAAATTAGCATATTAGCTTTATGTTTGTTGAATATATTCGCTATTAAGTCCATCTTACGATTTAATTTCCAAAGAAAATAAATTATACTCAGTTTCAAATTCATTGTTATTTATGGTTATACCTTGTTAGGATCAACGATAGAAAATTACTCATTTAAAAGTGTTTTAGCAAGTAATATGAATAATGTAGGAAATATTTTGAAAAACCATTGCGATAGCTTCGAGCTTATCGTTGAGTCGATTCATTATCTAGAAGCTGTAAATTAGCTGGGGAGAGCACAAGTAAATGATTGTACGCACATTACTATGTCATACTACATTATTGACAATAAACTATTAGTTCGGAACTGCTGGATATTTTTCTTCAGTTTAACACAGAAACTTCGGTTGCAAATGAGCCCATTATAACAATTTTTATAGATAAAATACAGAAGTAACTTTACTATGATTACGGCAAAAAGTATTAAACTGTAAAAACTGTTATTTGTTTTGAAAAAATGAAAATCTTTTGTCAGATTGTCCCGGGCGGCGGCCGTTGGGGCGCACCACACACCACCGGCATCCTCGACTCCTGGTTTCAGATGCAGGTAATTCCTTCAAATGTTCAATTCATTTCAAAATTTTATTGCAACATAATAAGTGTAACATCTTTTATGTACCACTGCTAAGTAGTAAATATTAAATTACACTATAAAGAGTCTGTTTTAACATACTTGTTTTTTTATATATAGAGTACGGTGACAAAAACATTTTTTTACTCCATTCATTTCTTTCTACAAGCCTAATTCACATAAAATACTCTACATTGAGAGCTAATCGTATCATTTCTTATATTAAATTTTCGAGTGTATTTCTTTCAACAGATCATTGATATTTATACAATATTAAATACAGATAAAATAAAAAAACGAATAAATATTTGCATGAATGTAATCCCTAGAAAATATTCAATGCATGACTGGCAGAGAACTGACAGCCACGCACCACCAGAATAACAATATCTGTAATGTATACCCAGACCAAGTTAAACATAACAAATTGAATTAGTTTAGTTTTAATATTTTATACCTTAATCCATCGAATTAAAATTGTGTGAGCCTTCCTTAAAGTAAATTTATTTTGGTAATGGTATTAACTAATTTGTATGCGACATGCTATGATGACATTGTCACGTAACTACGACATATTATGTATACAAGAAATGTATGTGCGTATGACATGCTATCTGTTTGTAGGATATTTATATTAATTGGTAGTATAATGTTTATAGTAATTTATATCGAACTTTTAGAGGCATTTCATAAATTTACAAGATAATGAAAGAAACTTGATCATAATATACATATCTTTTATTTTTTATATATCACATTGGCTTACTATTACTACTGGAAGAATTTACACCACCAACGTGTTGTACCCGAAATCCTAGTTGCATTGTGTTCTGTTAGTTGTTTGTTTGTTTGTAAATTATTTATTGACTAAATAAATAGGTGGTATTTCAAGCTACATATAAAAATGCGCACTGAAATTTTGCGCTGTAGTATTTTCCCGTGTTTAGTATACGTCACATACAAACTTAAAGAACAGTATTAACTTTGTTCGTGTAAATTATATTTTTATATTTGTTATGGCGACATTATTAATATCTTCATATTTATAATTGTTGTGCTTTTGTTATATTTATAAGTATGGCTAAAATATAGCGCACTTACAATAAAATCTCTTACCTGGAATGTAGGAAAAAGGATTGAATAGACGGTTAAACGAAAAAGCAAACAATCATTAATTATATCATTATGTAAACTAGTAATCGATATCTAATCTTTAACTACACATTGTTATATAAGACTGACATATATAATAAACAAAATATAAAACAAACTTTTTTCCGTTGCACATACCTATGAAAAAAGAATATTTGAAATCACATGAAATTCATAGCTCTTTCAGTCAATATTTTCAACATTTTATATTAAACTATTTGCCGACAATCTCTACTCTGTGCAATATTTTGACCACAGACTATTCAGATCTATAACTTTGAGACAATAGTTCTTTGACTCCACAACCTATGGTGAAGAAAGTTTCTAGTCAGGTTATCGGGTACTCACTTTTGTTGCTTTGCTAAAAATATAGACGTTCATACTTTTAACAATAGGAACAAACATAAGCTTATAATACCAGTTATTGGAGCACACAGATATAGTAATTCATTTATGGGGTAACATTACACTTTTACAAGAAAATCCCTGAAAAGGTACAAAATTTGTCAATAAGCGAGTTTAAATGTTTTATTAAAGAAAAAACTGTACGAAAAGAGTTATTATAATATCAACGAATACATAAATGAAAATAACCCCTAGTAATGAGATGATCACCACTATGCTGTTATGTTGTGATGTTCTATGAAAATTTATTTAAAATTGTATAAACAAAATTATTTAAACAGAAATATGTTTTAAAAATAGTCCCGCTGGGTTTGTTGCTGGTTCTTCCCAAGACAGAGGTATTTTTCGAACCAGTGGTAAATAAAAAAATGACGGTCAACAAGTTGCGTTTCTTTTCTTTTCATGTCGTTTAAAAATGAATTTAAAAAAAAAGATAGATTAGTCGAAAAATGTTGGAAGATCTCACTTCGCACGGGACTTTGTTCTTTTTTTTATAGGATAGGGCGACAAACGAGCACACAGTCTACCTGATGGTAAGTGGTTGCTGCGGCCCATAGACATCTACATCTATCCTCGATTACAAATTAAAATGCAGATGCGTTGTCACCCGTGAGGACTAAGATGGAATGCCTCGTTTCCAGTAAAAAGAGTCTCCGGTTCTCTACACTCACCATACGAAACACAGCAGTATTAAGCTACTATTTTACGCTGGTATTCTGTGAGAGCGTGGTCTTTCCCCGCTCGAGCCGACCCATTCGTGCTACAACTATACTACTAATATAACTCCAGCATGGCTCACGTATAAAATGTTCATGATAAATTTATGCTTATATTGGATATAATTTCTTAAAAGATTCTTTGTAATATTTCATTTGTTAAGGCAAATTCCTACATGTAATATCTAAGATAGAAAGTAAATATCTAAGATTTCGACAGACGATATTTCGGGCTAGTGTTACGATAAATATTGTAAACAGGGCTAAACAAGCAGAAATAAAGCTAAATCGGCAACAATGAACACACTACCGGTAAACAGGGGGTTGGACGGCTCGCCACTAGATGGAGTGACAACGCGGTTAGACATACAAGAAGTGGATGGACACAGGTAGCTCAAGACAGTGTTTTAGTAACAGTTTGTTACATTATCCCTAATATCTTAACCGTAATCGTACTGGTTACGGATAAGACATTAAATCTGAGTCTCATAGTCAATCAAACCCAATCAAAATATCTTTATTGATTTTAGCTATATTTTTAGCTCCCTCTCATGAACATTAAGACTTGCATAACAATTCTTGAAGACTAATGCAATGGAAATGTGAAATTTTATTTATAATATAGTAATTAATATCTCTTTATTCCGCATAAATAAAACGTATTATTCACATCATCTATTATGGGCTTTAGTATTTATATAATACTAGCTTGCTAGGTAGACGTTGTTCTGCCCTTTGTCATATCCCATTAAAAATCCTTAAATTCGCAAAAAAAAATTGTGGGTTGTTCAAAAAAACTATCCTATCTCTCAAGTTGGACCAAACTACACCCGACGTGTAAATTTGATTAAAATCGGTTCAGTAGTTTAGGAATCCATCGCGGACAAACAACGTGACACGTAATTTATATATATTAAGATAAAACTGACTTTTACCCGATCCTGCGTTTGCGTAAAAAAACTTCAGCAAATAACCAGTTGATGAGATCTCCTCGTATTATAGTGGTCTTTGGGCAAAGTAATTTCATTATCGAAACATCAATTTAGTTTCTTTATTATCTCGAAAACTATGTGTGATATGGGATAATCTTTGGAAGAAAAATTAAGGTTCCCACTAAAAGTTTTAGTGTAAAATTTTGTTAACTTCAAAAAAACCAATTTTTTATTAAAATTTAAGAAAAAGAAGATCAAGTTCTTGTTCTAGGGTTAGGGACCTGTTAGTCTAAAAGGACAAACCAAAATAAGTTTTCTTCTATCCTTTTTCTAGACAGTGATTGATAGTGTCCGCAGTCGGTCCGGCAGATTTGCCTGTTGAACGACTGCGCGATCTCATTTTGTCTGCATGGGCACAGACATGCCTGAACGTGAATGCTAACTGCGGGCTATCTGTTCACATTAACAGACACAAGAGCGACAGCAACCAGTGTAGACGACTTCTATTATTACTTAACGAACTTTGGAGATTTTTAATTTTCAATGGGTTTTAATGATAACAAAATATTCTGGGAAGAGTTTATAAGACTCTATATCCATGCGCAAGTAATTGTACATGTCTCCTGATTCGTCCTGATTCGTAAATTGATATGGCTAAACTTATTTCTATTTGTATACCATTCTTTTCACGAAATTAATGATAAATAAATAATAAGAATTGCAACTCTAGGTTATCTTAATGTGCACGCACAACTTATCACGTAGGCGGTCTAAAACAAACTGAATGAGTCTGTGTAGTGTATTGCGGTGAAAGACATGCCCGGACAAACAGCCCGTGGACATGTCCGTCTAGTCTAGTGAAATCCCTGCTTAAGACCACAATAGTCACTATAGATATACATTTTGTATTCGATAGATTTCAAATTTAGACAGGTCCTCAGTACACAATATAATTTTACGCTTGAAATACACAATCCATTAGGCTCCGTGCTGCATTAAAGCATACATATTGGGGAGATTACGTGTATCGAAACAATTTACACGGTACATGATGTGTGGAATCGCCATTGTCGAACGTCGCGCGCCGTGTCCCACGTGGGAATCGACTACTGAACTATTTTATGACGAAAACTTGGTTGTGAATAGAACCTTAATAATTATGTTTTGTAAAGTTCTTTAAAGTATTCTATCTTTTTATCTTATGAACGCAATTCAAAAGCGCTGGTCACTCAACGCTGGTTACAGGCTGCTACTTATATTTGATAGGATTTATTAATGTCAGTAAAAATTAAAACGGTAATCTCATTCTCTTAATCATTTTAGTGGTATGGGGATCACACTAATATTCAACACAATTTCTAGCAAGTACTTACTTTAAGAAGCGGTGTAAACCGGCTAAGGGTGCAATATTCATTACAAAACGTCAAACTGTTGGCTTTCACACGTGTTGCATATGGAACCACCTGCCGCTGCACTAGTCTGCTCCACTCTTTAAGTTTTGAGTCATTTATCTATGTAAATATACTATTTACATAGGATAAAAAAATCGAATACAGAGACAAATTGAATAGGTATATCGACCAAGATAAGTAAACAAATATTTAATTGATATGAAATGGCTGGCTTATAGCAGTAGAAGGGATGATATAATAGGAAATTTGTGGATACATATATAACTTGAGACCATTTATATACGCGATCGAGCCATACTGCAACTATGTTCTGGTTGTAGGCTGGTCTACTTGACCCATTACTACAAGCCTACAAGAGGAGGACTCAGAAGCTTATTGCGGCTGCGTTCTGTAAGCACGGCATTCCTTCTTAGTCTAAAAGCGTTGTCACACGCATCTGCATTTTGATTTTTAATTGAGGATAGATGTACCTAATTGGCTTCAGGACCTTTATAAAAAATAGTGCCCAAAACTGAAAAATACGTAATTCATGTAAGATGAAATAAAAAATTTAAAACTAATATAAAAAAAACTTTTTTTTAATAAAACTATAATTAATCAATATATCCTTATTGTGCACTAATACACATTAAAATGAAAACAGTATTAAATTAAAATATAAGGTTCAAAAGACAGTCTTATTGCTCTGGAAGCAATTTCTTCCAGAGAAACTTTGTACGTAAAAAAAACTATTATTTACAACGAATTGCGAATAATGGAGGTGTATACAAATTAGACAAATAAGTAAAATAAAAAAGGAAAATTATTATAGAAAAAAAACTAAAGAAACACGCTTAACATAAAATTATTTGAATAAAACTATATTTACGGATTTTATCGCGTTTAATTCACTATTTTACTGATTTTTAATGCTAGACGTTTCGGATGCTTTACAGCACCTATGGTCACGGGAGGGTCTTTAGTTTTTGATTATTATTTTTAAGGTAGCTGGGCTAATTATGATATTGGGACGTCAAACATCTCAGTATGTAGTGTTCGCGTAAATTTAAGAAATCATTATAAAATTATTTCATTATATCCTGGTGATCCTGATCAGGAGGATAAAGTTTAAAAAAATTAAATTATCGTATTGTCATCGGTCCTTAATACGAGTTGAAATTTTTAAGTCAATCGGCCGTCTGCAAGTTGGTGAAAATTACACTAAAAAATTCTGTTACATAGGTTAATAATGTCCTCCCGACCGAATTTCGGCTACAGCGACCTGCGTCAACGGAGGCTAGCCATCGGTGCAGGACAGGATTATAGTGCCCAAGTGTACGCGTAAGCACAGGTGCACCCTCTTTTCCCTCACTCTCATAATCCGATGGGACGGTAAACCGACAGGACCGGAGAGATATCAGGCGCAGGACCAACGGCTTTACGTGCTTTCTGAGGCACGGGGGTGAGACACCGCCAATTTCCTGTCTCCGGGCAACTACTGAGAAAATCTTGACGGAAAAACTCAATATATATTTTTAGCTCGACCCGGGATTCAATCCCAGGACCTCATGATCAGCAGTCGCACTACTACAACCACTAGACCAACGAGGCAGTCGGTGTTAAAAATAATAAAAACACAAGACGGTATATGAATATAGAGTGGTTTTAATATTTAAAAAAAAAACACAATAAGAATAGATTACCCGGCAGAACAGCGCGTAAAATAATATTTGACGCATCATTAGAGCCGCGTTCACTGTGACAAAGTCTATTGTTCCCTTTCCTATTCCTACTCGCCAATGATTTCGAAGCTCAACCTGATTTTTAACAATAAAAGTACTTTAATAATTAAATTTACATTCTGAAATTTAAAATTTGGTATTGTTAAGGTTTCATTAACCTAACATAAAACCACACAACTTATTCTAGGGTGCTATTTAAATAACTTGCAAATTTTTGAATCTTCTATATCAATTAACCATTGATAATTAATACCTTCTTTGTGATACGGTAGCTAATTATACACAAATCTACCGTAATCCTACCATAAATAAGGTCTGTGCACAGCAGTAGGACTTGCGTATAGGCTGCAATTTTATTTTATAATAGAGTTGCTCAGTTATTATTGCGCTTCTGCATCCGCATCACCACTTACCATCAAGTGGAATGGTTGTGGTGATGGTGAAGCACTGACTTATAATAGTAAAAAAATATATCGAAACAATAATGACAACAAGTGAAGTGTTAAAACTTAATTTAACATGAGGGCACTAAATAAACTGTTTTAAGGTCTTAGTAGCACGTAGTCACGTTAATTATATAGAATTGATTTATTATTTTAATAATAAATATTATAAATATTTGATTAAGACTAATCTTATGGATTTTATCGCGTTTAATTTACTTTATTTTTGATATATGTTGTAGCTGACATGAAGCAAGCTGCAGTTTGTGATCATGTATCCTAGACGGCTGCAACATTACATCAGATTTGATAGACCACATGTCATCGCGAAAGAATATCGATTCGTACCAAGGATGATACATGTGGGTATTAAAATTAAAGAAACATCCTGATTTCAATAGAAAAGGAGGCTGAGTACCACTATCTGCTTGCGAATCCTGTAATTTATAAAATTAAAACTAAACCCAAGCACGCCATTGCAAGACTTCAAGACACAGGAAGTTCATTCTGCGTAGATCGAACCATAAATAATAATTAATTATCTGAAGGTACTCAGGGTTAACACTAACATTGGGACGTCAGTCACCTCAATCCCCCGCGACCATGGGTGCTGGGTAGCACCCCAAAACATCTGAAATTAAAAATCAAGTAAATTAAACGCAATAAAATCCGTAAAAGTAGTCTTAATTAAAGTGTAGTGTTCGCGTAAATATAAAAAATCATTAAGCAAAATGGAATAATTTTTTTACGTAGTAGAGCCATGTCGCAGCTATACGAGTAGTAGTAGTATAGT